AGACCATATGGACGAACAACCAGGACTTTACGCCGGAATTTACAGTCGATGAACAAAAAATAAGACGAATCCAGATCTCTGACTTTATGAACCTGTGTTACAAAATCGAACAAAGTTATTGTAAAGTGGTCGTGTCGTTTGCCTCGCGCTCTAAGGTCATGTGTTCGTTTCGCTGAGATCGTGGGTTCATTTCACTTTTTATGGCATCTCTGGTCATATTCCGTCGCTGGAGCTACGGAATTCGTGCTGTCTTTCGACAAACTTGTAGCCGTTCTGCGGAAAGAGACCTGGCCCAATGGGGTGAGATCCAGTGTGCAATAGTGATGTCGACCCTGTTTTGTCGCGATTTATGTTCTGTTATGGCTTGCTAATGAAAGCTTGTAATCGCAGTGCCATTTTATACATGGGCAGCAATCAGAAAAGCTAAGCAGAAAAAAAAAGTTCCCGCAGAAGAGATGTGGTTTTTTGAAAAGAATATCATGAAATGATAAAATACATTTCTTTAAGTATCCAGAAACCGTGAGAAACCTTTGGCTTTGTACTATAGATATCACAACCCTTCGGCATTGATTCCATGATAGATACAGTAAATTTGGGAGAAATGTGGCTTTTCTGCCTACCCGAGGGCGTGAACCCAGACCACAAGGAGTTCGTCACCCGGTCGCCGCGCAGTCTGGTTTAGCCAGCGGCATTAGCTAGGCCGGCGATAGAATAATACGAAGCACGTTTCCCCATTGTAAATTTGAACAAAGAAGACAAACAATAGATTGCACAATTTATTGCCTGGCATATTACGCTGTATCTCGTCATGTGCATACTACAGACAATTACATAAATGAAGCAAATTAGTGAATACTTTATAACTGAAGTACAATTTCAACAACGATCAAACTTGACAGCCTGTTTTTACCAGGACAGCCTTCGCCCGGGAGATAGAATAATAAACTAGGTAGTCCTACAGGATACCCAAGAAACCGTTAACTGCTTAGAAAATTCAGCGTGAACGGTCGTTTTATTTTTACATGCTGTAAGGAGGAAAATCGGTAGATTTGTAGCACGGCCGGACACCAGGGGGTCGTGATTTGTAGCAGGCAGCAAGGTTGGTGGGAAAAGGACAGAGAAAGCAGAGAAATAAATACCTGGTTGTCTTGGCAATATAGATGGGGCGAGGCAAGAACACTGATCCGATCCTTGATTCTTGGTGATCATGTGAGATTGAGACTCTTGACAACATTTTGGCCCCTGATGGTGATGATGATGTGGTGTAGCGGCTAGATGCTCCCCTGTGGATCCGAAGGTCGTGAGTTCAGGTCCTGACGGAATCGCACTTTTTTGTCTTCTTCAGAAAAGGCCTTAGCTGCTAGGTCAACCCAACCTTAAATGGGTACCAGGTAAAGATCTGCGAAGTGAAGGCGGCCGGCGTGATGTTGACCACATCACCCCCATAGTGCCGATTGGTCTATAAAATATAGGTCTAGCCGTGTCTCAATGCGTAGAAAAGGGTCCTTCACGTGATGATGATGATGTGCGTTAGTCGCATTCAAAACCTCAGGGCAAACGTGTCACCCCATAGTTGCTCCGGTGATGACCCACTTTAGAAGTAGGTCATCATCCGGTCCTCTGCCTATGAAAACCACATAAAATGTCCATCGCTGTCCCCTGTGAAGAAATTGACACGGACTGCAGTCCCGGCAAAGCCAGTGTGAGTTTGAAGGTGATGATGATGTTTTACGAAAAGCTGTTCTTCACTTCCCATATTCCATTTCCTTATTCGTTTACAAGCCAGTCTTCAAGAGATAATATTCTCAACCTAACCACGGCTTCAGATAGATCCCAATAGAAGTCTGTCCCTGATTTCCTCATTCTAGACTCTAGAGCCTGCTCGCAGACTTGTTTCCCCCAGTACGGCGGTATGATTTCCGCTTGAGGATTATCTCCACTCCAGCATCTAATGGAGCTATTGCATTGGCTACATCTGAACCACTGTAGAGGCCTAGATATGATGTCCTCTTTCGGCTACTGGAGTGGTTATTGATTGGCAGTTTCTTGTCTGAAGCTCAGTCCCTCGGTGACTGGGAGACGAGTTTAAATACATCAGATATTTTATGTTCACTGTACGACCTGAGTCGGCATTTGTGGACACGTCTTTTCTTTTTTTTTTGTTTAGGTCGGTTTGATAGAGCTTTTGCTATTAATCTGGAGTGTCGGTGGTTCCATATAGCATAGAATATATTACATGCCTTCTGTCTGTCTGTTATATTGATTAAAACTTACCGTGGACATGTGGCAGATGTGGTGCTTATTCTTTCTTGAATCCTTGTCTGGCTGTCTATCGGTCTTCCTGGCAGTCTGTCTGTCAGTGTCCTTCTGACATTCTGTCTTCCTGGCCGTCTGTCTGTCTTCCTCGCTGTTAGACTCTCTGTGTCTTCCTGGATTTATGTCTTCCTGGTTGTCTCTCTTCCTGACTGGCTATTAGAGTCTTCCTGGCTTTCTGTCTGCCTGGCTGTCTGTCTGTGTCTTCTTGGCTTTCTGTCTTCCTGGCTGCCTGTCTGTCTGCCTCACTGTCTGGCTGTCTGTCTTTCTGGCTGTCTTTCTGTCTGCCTCGCTGTCTGGTTGTATGTCTTCCTGACTGTCTGTCTTCCTGGCTGTCTTTCTGTCTGCCTCGCTGTCTGGCTCTCTGTCTTCCTGGCTGGCTTTCTGTCTGGCTATCTGTCTTCCTGGCTGTCTTTCTGTCTGCCTCGCTGTCTGGCTCTCTGTCTTACTGGCTGTCTGTGTTTTCCAGGCTTTCTGTCCTTCTAACTGTCTGTCTGTTTGCCTCACTGTCTGGCTCTCTGTGACTTCCTAACTTCCTGTCTTCCTGACTGTCTGTCTTTCTGGCTGTTTGGCTCTCTGTCTTCCTGGCTATATGTCTGTCTGTGTCTTCCTAACTTCCTGTCTTCCTGGCTATCTGTCTATCTGTGTCTTTCTGGCTGTCTGTCTTGTGTCTGTAAATGTCTGTGTGTGTATGCATGTGTGTTAGTGAGTAAATGGGCGTGCGCAAGTGAGTGTGTGTGCGCGCACTTGAGTATGTGCATGCATTTTACGACCGATGCTTTTTTGGGGGGGGGGGGGGGGGGGTCTTGTTATTCATAATATGCAAATGAACACAACATGCTTTATTGATAAAATACTACTGCTGTGTGAAAGATGGGTGCTTGGAAGGGCCGAATGTAAGACGGGCTTGCGTGCCCAGTTTGCGACCCTTTGAAACAAAAGTTCATTCGTTCCTTTTGTCTTCCTGTTTATCTGTCTGTCTGTCTGTCTGTCTGTCTGTCTGTCTGTCTGTCTGTCTGTCTGTCTGTCTGTCTGTCTGTCTGTCTGTCTGTCTGTCTGTCTGTCTGTCTGTCTGTCTGTCTGTCTGTCTGTCTGTCTGTCTTCATAGTTGTCTGTCTTCCTTGCTGGCTGTGTCTGTTGTACGTCCACATGTCCGACAAAGTGTCTTGCGGCAGAAATTATTTTTTGATCTAGCATTGTCTACACAAACTTGTTTCAGTTGTTTTACTGCAGTTCTATTGTTTTTTTTGTTTTTGTTTTTTTTTCCTGACTGACGTCCTGCCTTTTCTTGTTCCTAAACTATCATCTAATTTTTTAAGGCTGTTTTTCTTGAAACCAAAGGCATAAAAACTAGCGAACACAGTCTTACTCTCTGTCTTTCCCATTATCTCTTTCTCTATCATCTGTCTGTCTCTCTCATCTCTCTCATGTCTATCTCTCTCATCTCTCTCTCATTCTCTCTCTCTCTCTCATCTCTCTCATCTCTCTCTCTCATCTCTCTCATCTCTCTCTCTCTCATCTCTCTCTGTTTTTCCGCCACATATAGCCGATTGACTGACTGACTCTCTACCCCACCAGGACATCACACAAGCGATAAACACCCTATGACACAAAGTGCCACCACGTGGGTGAGGTCCCAGAAACCGCGTTCAGACAATTGGCCATATTTATGGCCTGCCTATATTGCGGCCTCTGGTAAAAGCCAGTGTGGGGCTTCAAATAACAAAAAATGTCGTCCTAAAAAGGACGAAACTGGATGTAGCCACATCTAGCATGAAAAATACCCAATTATTTGACTAGAAGGTTCTTTCGCTGGGTCGCACAGGGTAGAAAAAACTTCGCACTTGATCATAGGCTACTGGATCAGTGTCTGGACGCTAAGAATGAGGGTGATCAACTTTGGAGACCAATAAGAACACTACCCACTTAAAAAACCTTGGCTTATTTCAGATCACTAAATCAGGGCTGCCAATAGGATTTAAAACAAAAACCTAGCTAAGGTACCAATGGGTACCTGGTAAAGTCATGGAAAGTAAAGGCGGCCAGCGTGATGCTGACCACATCACCCATCGAGGCCCAATTTTCCTGTACAATTATAAGTCTAGGCTCGTATGCCCAGTGCGCCACTGGTGTGTAAAGAGACCTGCCTGTACTTCACTTATCGTCATCATCATCATCAGTGTCCACTTCTGCCGTTTTTCTGTTTAAACAACGGATCAACATCATGACACAAAGGTGGTAACACATGAGTGCTCCGTTCTACTTCTAACTCAAACCTGAGTGCGAATAATCTCAGCGCAGTGCACGAACTCCGTAGCACCGGCGAGAATCCTGATATACTTTGGGCAGATTTTTTAACTCCAAATGTTTCCAGAGCAGCACCGTTAGGCTACTCTTTTCGATGTCCAACTGCCAAGGGATTGTTTACGCGTGCAACAATGCGCACGGGAGTCCGATCTTACTAACCAGAGACCGGGCGTTGTGGGGAGGAACAGTTTGCGTTCCATTGCTTGCTACGCAGAAATGGCTATTGTCATTTTGTGTTGATGTAGAAGCTCTTTAATGTCATCAATCCATTTTCTTCTAGGGCGGCCTCTTGCTTTCACTTCAAATATTTCCCTGTTTCATGTTTTCACTAATGCAATGAGTTCAGCCCCCTCGTCTCTACAGTAGCTTATCTTCCACAG